CACAGGCCCTCAGCTCCACGGGACCTGTCTACAGGTGCACAGGCCCTCAGCTCCACAGGACCTGTCCACCAGGTGCATAGGCCCTCAGTTCCACGTAGTGCACAGGCCCTCAGCTCCACGGGACCTGTCTATCAGCTGTACTGGAGAGTGGCTGATGGATTTGAACCGCTGGCCTTTCAGTCAGCAGCCCAACAAAGTTCCTCACTATGCCGGCTGGGCTCATTCATTAACATCCTAGATGTGATACTTTACAACATGTAGGGTAATTCCATTTACTGAAAACTCAGTCTAGCTAAGTTGGCACATACATTTGGAAACAAAATTTGGTGCCTGACCAGATCCCAGGAACCCTCACCACAGTAGGAGACAGGACAGACAGCCCAAAACTACAGCCACCAAGACCTGGTGAGTGGACAGACAGCCCGAAGCCGCACCCACCATGACCTGCTGAGTGGACAGCCACTATGATCTGGTGCAGACAGCAAACAGGTGGGGTGCATGAGTGATGTTGCCCTCTGTGAGCCACAGTGTGAAGTGGGCAGGGGCTAGCCATGCTGTCTGTCCCCAGGCCTCAGAGCAGGGCACAGACCAGCAGCACAGAGCCCGCCGAGCTCCAGGACCACAGGAGATGCTGTGGAATTCTGCGGGCCTGTCTCGCCTGCGCAGACACAGGTGTTTCCTTCTCTTCTGGAAAAGCTCAAAACCTCTGGTGGCCTAGTGCTAAAGAACTGTGCTCCCAAACTAAAGCACACAGTTTGAATCTGCCAGCCGCCCTGGGGGAGAAAGATGGGCAATCTCCTGTCTGATTTACTGCCTCTGAGAGACCACTGGAAGGTCAGCTGTCGGCCGGTTCTGAGTTGAAGGCACACAACCACCATCACCAAGAGCCTGGACACTCTGTGTGTGTCCAGGGGCTCCCGCTGCTGGGCCTGAATGCCCTGGTGGTGTCCAGAGGCTTCCCCTACCAACCTGGACACTCTGCTCATGTCCAGTGGCTTTCCCTGCCTCTCTTGAATGTGGTTTACTGAACTCCGTCGCAGTTGGTGCAATGCCGTAAACCTTGAGTGGCATCAGGGACCCGCAGGAGTACCGCTCGCCTTGTGCAATGTGTCCAAGGAACAGAGAACAGCCTGGAATGGACACAGCCTGAGGTCTGCTGCTACAGCTGACCACCACATCCAGGGAATCAGATGCAGCCTGAGGGCCGAGGTAATCCATGAAAAGCAGACCCACAGGTGTTTCTTGTTGCTGTGCCAGTGTGCACAGTCACTGCTTATAAATGACAGCTATCTCGATTGAAAATACAATGTCATGTTTCCCAAGTGTAACATGTAACACTAACGTGCATTCATCAGCTGAGATTTGCACAATTTCCACTCAGCGGTCCGTCACCAGCAGTTAACTCTGTGTGTGGGGTGGACGGAGGGAAGTGTCAAGTCACCTGCCAATTCCTGCACAACACCAGGCAAGAAGGGTCTGTAACCCCCAAGCCCTCCTCCTACCACACTCCCCATTTCAGCTGTATAATACTCCCCCCAGGGTAAAAAGAACTCGAATTGAGAACAGTTGCAACACCCAGCAATAAATTAAGGTGGGGGCATATAAGACAACCTTCTAGATCTCTTCCATAAAAACATTTAATGATAGCTGTTTCTGCAGCCGCATGCCAGCTGCCCCACTCATGTCCCACTCACAAGGTCCCTGCACAGCAGGGGACACTGGGGGTCTCACTGTCATGGGTGCACCCCCTCACATGCCAGGAGGCCTTCACTGGCTGGTTCTGGAAGTCAGGGGCAGATCACATGACCCTTCTTCCTGGTCTGTCTTAGTCTGGACATTCCGTTGAACCCAGCTGGGCAACTTTCTTGGTTCTCAAGCACTGCTGAGGCAGATACCACGAGTGAATGACTTCAACACCCAAACTTATCCTCTCCTGGATTGAAAGGCACCAATGAGCCGATCTGGACCCTACACAACAGAGTACACAAGGACTTCAAAAGTTACTTTTAAAATTTGGAATGGAGGACGATAGGGGCTATACCATAAACATGTTTGGTTTTTATTAATTTTTGTGTTGAAAATAATCAAACTTTGCTGGGAATTGAGAGATGGCCTCCACCAACAGTGGGTGAGATTGGGAATATCGTTGGGGTTTCGGAAACATAGGGCAACTGGGGCCTAAACGCCATGATATAGAACGGAAGAGCTCTGGTGGCTTAATGGTCAGGAGCTGAGCTGCCAACACAGGGGCACACAGTTCAAATCCACCAGGTACTCTGTAGGGGAAAGATGGACCATCCCCTCTCATGTGACATACAGCCTCTGAAACCCACCAGAGGGTCAGCTCTGAAGTCTGTTCCACTTAATGGCACATAAAAACCACAGATAAATACACACACATAAACATGCTGATGTCTGAGGGGTCTAGACTGAAAGCAGAGAATATCAGTGAGACATTTAGCTGTGTTTCATTAACTATGCAAAGGCATGAGTGTGTGTGCATAATAACACATTATGAATACCTGAGAAGAATTGGAATCCCAGAACATTTAATTGTGCTCATGAGAATCCTATCTATAGACCCAGAAGCCACTGTCTGAAGGAAACATTGTGTGATTTAAAATCAAGAAAGGTATGTGATAGGGCAGCATTCTGCTGAGCACAAGAAGCTGCGCTGTAGGAGGAATGTGGCATCAGGATTGAAGGAAGACTCATCAACAACCTGCGCTGCACAGACGACAAAACCCTGCTTCCAGAAAGTGAGGATGGCTCACAGCACTTAATGAAAAAGATCAGAAACTACGAATTCAATGTGGGTTACATCTCAACACCAAGCAAACAAAAACACTCTTAGACTGAACAGACATCATGACAGATGGAGAAAAGACTGAATTTGTCAAAGATATTATTTTACATGGATCCACAATCAACACCTTCGGAAGCAACATTCAGGAAATCAAAAGATGTATTGCACTGGGAAAATCTGCTGTCAAGGACCTCTTTAAAGTGCTAAAAAGCAATGATGTCAGCTTAAAAATGAATGTACCCCTGGTGCAAGCTCTGTTATTTTCAATTGCTTTGTATACGTCTGAAAGTCGGAGAGAACACGGGATACTGCAGAATCGGTGCCTGTGAGCTGTGATGTTGGGAAAGAGTGCTGACTACCCCAGGGACGGCCAGAGGAACAAACAAAGTCTGTCCTGGAGGAAGTCCCATCAGAGTGCTCCTGAGAAACAAAGACGATGAAACGTTATCTCACATACATGAAGCTTCCTGTCCAGAGGGGCCAGTCCTTGGAAAAAGAGGTACAGATAAAGGTGATGGGGTCAGTGAAAGAGAGGAAGACCTTCAGTGAGATACACCGACAGAGCAACTAGAGAAAGGAACTTGAACGTAAAAGATATTATGACGATGACGTAAGATGGGGGAAGGCTCAGATCTGTTGTCTCTGTGGGTTCTAGTGTGCCCTACTGCACCCACATCTCTCTCTCTCTCTCTCTCTCTCTCTCACACACACACACACACACACACACACATACACTCTCTGCATCACAGAGAGCTGCTGCTGTGGTATAGGGACTTGGCTGTAAAGCCAAAGGCCAGACCTCTCCGGTGGCTCCAATCTCCCCCTTGCTCTGAAGGCGCACAGCTTCCTACTGTGCAGTTTACAGCTTCTGAAACTCTGCGGAGGGTCAGCTATTAGTCAGAATCAGCTCAAGGCGATGAATTTGAGTTTGAATTTTAGATTAGGTAAATTTAAAAATAGA